AATCCGGATTTTCCCATTCCTTATTTCGGCAACAAAAAATGTAATATGTAGTTCTAATAGCAATAGTCATCATTTTCCTAACGCAGTACATTTGGTGGTTTTTGTCAAGACCAATACTATCTAACATGTCTAAAAATGTATAACATAATAATAATAATAATAATAATAATAATAATAATAATAATAATAATAATAATAATAATAATAATAATAATAATAATAATAATAATAATAATAATGGAAACTTTATTTATTGATTATTAGGATATATACAACTACAATGATAAACCTCGCTTTACAGGTAGTTTATCAATGTCTACTTGAATTGATACAATAATAATTGATACATATTTATTGTACAATAATTATTTTAAGAAGGATTATATTAACATTAATTTTGGGTTATCCCACATCTTGTTTCGTTTACAAAACACATAATATGAATAATAATAATAATAATAATAATAATAATAATAATAATAATAATAATAATAATAATAATAATAATAATAATAATAATAATAATAATAATAATAATAATAATAATAATAATAATAATAATAATGTTAATAATAATAATAATAATAATAATAATAATAATAATGGAAACTTTATTTTGACATTTTATGTATATACAATTATAAATCTCACTAATTAAGGTAATTTATAATTGACTACTTGAACTATTAATTATTGATAAAACTATATTACAGGTATAAAACTAAGAGAAAGCTCATTCTTAAATGTTCATCAAGTCCGGATCGGTCCAATCCTTGTTCCTACAACAAAATATATAGTACGTTGTTCTGATGGCGATGGACATTATTTTCTTAACACAAAAGTTCTGATGTTTTTTATCAAGACCAACTTCGTTCAACATTTTCATAAACGTGTTACATTCTTTTGAGAAAACACCTAAGGCACTAATAGACAAATTAATAAATTTTACAGTTTTGAAATGGTCTTTCTGCTGCGTAATTAGATCCTTGTATCTTTCCCTTTTGCGATCGACGTTGTTTTGGAGATTGGATTCATATCCGACAGAGAGTTCGAGTATGTACAGACAATCATTTGAAATCGAAAGAAGCAGATCTGGGCGATAAGTGTCACTGGTTATTATTGACAGGCTCTTGTATCCAGGAAGGTCAACAAATAGAGTGGAGTTGTGGTCAGGTTGGAATATTTTTGAGATAAAATTGAGAATGGAGTCATGTCTCCAAGTAAATCGTGGAAGGTATGACTGGCATCCCGCGACCACATGCAGAAGGGTTTCAGGGTTCAGGCAGAGAGAACAATCCGAGTTTGACATTATTCTCCATTTTGTGAGGTTTTTGCGTGTGGGAATAGCCTGCGAACAGGCCCTCAAGCTGAATTGAGGGCCTGCATCGATGACTAATGAACTTGAATATCTGCCCCGTAACGTTCGTTTTTCCAAATATGGAATTTCTATCCTTATATGGTGTTGTTTACAACTTTCGTGCAAACTAAATTTAGACCGTGCAAACTAAATTTAGACTGTACAGTTTATACTGTTTTTCGAAATATAAGATATTCAAGCAAAAGTTCAAATGTTTTAAATACTGTTTTCTCAAAACAGAACATTTCGTGCTTTGAGATAAGACGGCCAAGACCAATTTGATCAGTTAATGTGTTTTTTATGCATAATTTCAGCAGTTGACATATATAGAGCTCAGCGGAAACATATAAATGATAGCATCTGACCAATGAGAATTTCGCGTCACGATTTGAGACGCAGATATTCAAATTCATTAGTCATCGATTCAGGCTCTCAATTCAGCTTGAGAGCCTGTTCGCATGCTAGTGTGGGAAGAGTGTTGTTGATGTAACGGATGGTGAAGTTATAGATGCTTTTTGGCAAGCTGGATTGAGATTTGGACCATAGGTTGTTTAGTGTAGATGACGAGAACTTGGTGGTGTTAGAGAAAAAGGAGCCTTGGAGAAGCAGATGATTTTGAAGCTTGTCTTCTTGTGCAGATTTAAAACTTTTAAGAACTTCCTTTGTTGAAGTGTAGACGTCATACTGTATGTTAGTATTGTCGCAAGTTGATTTCCATAAATTTCTTATACAATCATTTGGAGAGGTTTTTAAGGCTTTACGAGAGACTGTTTGGCACTGAGTGAACTTGACGGATGGAGGGTATATATTTAGTCCAAATTTATTACTTGTGAGGAAGACATTATTTAAAGTTCCAGATACGGGTATTTCAAGCAATTTCCGTTCGAATTTATTAACTACTGAGTCCATGTTTTCAGAAACCCACGTTTTTGATAAGGTAGCGACAGTAAAATGCCAGGAGAATTTCGATAGGAGATAACGACTATAGAGTAAAATTTTGTTCTTTGGGTGTAGCGGTTTGAGGTCAATTTCTGACATGATATTTGTGATCTTTGTCAGACATATTGAAATCAAAATATTTCCCTAAGTATCGGAAAGACTCTCCTATTTTAGTGGCCGGTATTAATTTATTGTCAATGAGGAGTCTTGGTAGGTATTGGATTGATTTTGTGAGACTTTTCTTAATGCCAAATGTACTACATTTGTCGACTCGACTAATCATGTTTGACCATTGACACCAGATTGAGAAGCGATTTAAAAGGTGCTGATTTTCGCTCTCTTGGCCGCTAATAACGGCTGCATCGTCAGCAAACTGGAACCAATGGATTGGATTTAAAAATTTGGTCATGAAACCAAATTGGCGGTATTTATCAGCTTTAATGTGCTGAATAAAGGAGTTGAAACACATATTGAAAAGTAAAGGACTAAGACAATCTCCTTAAAGTACACCTCGGCCAACAGTTATGAATGGGGTAGAGAATTCGGCAGTTATAATTGTGGTGTTGAAGTCAGTATACAAGCTCTTGATAATCTTGATTTCATTAATCTGTTCGGGAATGTGATGATAATCGAGGACAGATTGAATGAGATTATGATGCACTTCACCAAAGGCGTTTTTAAGGTCAAGAAGGGTGATGGCAACAGAGCGTTGTTTTATTCTCGCTTGGTTGATGATGTTTGTCATTTGAGCTGTGTGTTCCAAAGTGCCAGACAAATTGGGAGTGAAGCCTTTCTGAATCTTTTGTTCAATGAAATTATTAGCCGTTAGAAAGGAGAACATGGCGTTGCGAAGATATGAGGTAAACACTTTTAAGGGTATGGATTCCAGAGTAATAGGACGGAAATTGGAATGGTCATTTGTATTGCCCTTTTTGTGTATAAGTACAGAGCATGCTTTTTTCCATTCGGCAGGTACAGATTTTAAAGACCAAACGCTACGTATTACTTCTGTCAAGTACGTATGGAGAAATGGACATCGTTTAAAGCAAATTATTGAAAGTTGATCGAGCGGGCAAGGTGAGGCGCATGCTTTCATTCGGCGAATTATATTTGTAACTTGGCGATATGTTGGGGGTTCAAGGTCAAAATTGATGACGGGTTCGGATAACTTTGGAATCCCGCTGGGAATACAGAATAGTTTATGTGTGTTAATTGCGCTTAGAGTTCTCTTGAAATATGTCAGGCATTCTATCATCGAAAATGTGGGAAGTAGGGAAGTGTTCTTATTCAGGATGTTTTTAACGTAGCCCCAAAAGTTTCTACCAATGTAATTGTCGTGATTAAACACTTCATTGTGGTTTTGAGTTGTCTGGTCATCGAGATTGTTTTGACTGGCATTACGCAATTTCTCACGCAATGTGCGAGACACGTATTTAATTTCATGAGGTTCGGCGTTTGAAAGTTTTAGTTTTTTCAGAGATTTCTTCAACTTCTGTCCTGTTTGGTCTCTGTACTTATCCACCAGTGCTTTATCCGGAACCTTTTCGGCATGACCGAAGTTATCAGCAAAATAATTGTAAACCACATTATTTAATTGCAAGATGCTAGAGCTTAGATCTTGAGCTCTGATTGGTGCATTTAATTCAAGCGCAAATTTGAAATAGTTATTGGCCGTTGACCATTCTGCGTCGTTTTGGGGGAGTTTTATTCCTTTCTTTAACACTGGGAAATTCTGATTAATAATAATAATAATAATAATAATAATAATAATAATAATGGAAACTTTATTTATTGATTATTAGGATATATACAACTACAATGATAAACCTCGCTTTACAGGTAGTTTATCAATGTCTACTTGAATTGGTGCTATATATTTATTGTACAATAGTTATTTTAAGAAGGATTATATTAACATTAATTTTGGGTTATCCCACACCTTGTTTCGTTTACAAAATACATAATATGATGTTCGTATGCATATGTTCACGATTTGCTTTTTTATGTATTTACTATACTTGGCATCACATTTAAGGCTACTTAGCATGCCATCGAAATTTTCACAAGATCGGCCAAAAACTCCGAGGGTACTCAGGGATAAATTGACGAACTTGACTTTATCATAATCTGCTTCCTGCTCATTGATTAGATCACGGTACTTTTGACGCTTACGATTGGTGTTAACTAGCAGATTGGATTCATAACCGACTGTAAGCTCGAGGATGTATAGACATCTGTTTTCAGTCACCAGCAGAAGGTCAGGTCGTAAACGATCTCCCGTGATAACAGATGGATTCATAAAACCAGGAATGTCCGCGTAAAGTGTGGAATTTTTCACAGCAGTAAGAGTGGATGCGAGGAAATTTAAAACAGAATCGTGTCGCCATGTAAACCGGCCTTCGTCTAAATATGTCTTACATCCAGCAATCACATGGAGCAGCGTTTCAGGTGAGGAGCGGGGGGAGCAATCGGATGTTGATGATAGTCCCCATTTTGATAGGTTCTTTCGTGTTGGAAGTGTGTTATTGATATATCGGATGGTGAAGTTAAAAATGTTTTTCGGAAGTTTGCTCTGAACGGATGACCATAAAGAGTTGAATGTGGATGTGGAATGATTCATGATACTGGAAAAGAAAGAACCTTGCGAAATGAGGTGGTTTTGAAGTATTTGTTCGTTTTCTTTTCTAACTGCCTTAAGTACGTCTTTTGTGTCTTTGTAAATGTCATACTGTATGTTCTTGTTGGTGCTCGTCACCGCCCATAGATTGTTAATATCTACGTTTGGTGAGTATTTTAAATCTGATCGAGAGACAGTTTGACATTGGATAGGTTTTGTCGAAGGGAGAATAATATTCAGACCAAATTTGTTTTGTGGAAGCAACACGTTGCTAAGGGTTGCGGGGACAGGAAGTTCCAGCCATTTTCGGATGTGTTTTGTCGCGGTACTGTCTAACGTTTCGCAGATCCAGGTCGTAGATATATCAGAAACAGTGAAGTCCCAGGATATCTTTGACAGCAAGTAACGGCTGTGTGGTAGAATTTTATTTTTCGGGTGTAAAGGTAGTTCATTAATTTTATTCATGATGTCATTAAACACGTCGAGTAATTCCGATTTGTGTTCCTCATCAGACATATTGAAATCGAAATAGCAACCTAAGTAACGGAAAGATTTGCCCATTTCGGTTCTGGGTACAAGATCGTCATTAACGAAAAGCTTGGGTAAATACTGGATAGATTTAGTTAAGTGTTTTTTAATGCCAAATGTTGAACATTTGTCAACGCGTATAATCATATTAGCCCATTGACACCAGATTGTAAAACGATTAAGGAGCATTTGGTTTTCTTTCTCTTGGCTACTGATGACAGCAGCATCGTCTGCGGGCTGAAACCAATGTATAGGATTGCACGGAATGCCAATTTCACTTAATTTCCAAAAACCAAGCTGACGGTATTTTTCAGATTTAATATGTTGTATGAAAGTATTGAGTGGCGTGTTGAATAAAAGTGGACTGAGACAATCGCCTTGAAGAACAATAATAATAATAATAATAATAATAATAATAATAATAATAATAATAATAATAATAATAATAATAATAATAATAATAATAATAATAATAATAATATGTACGACAATAATACATTCAAACTTACTTCCAGCCCATGTTTCGGTACAATAGCCACCAAAGATCAAACTTTTACCACCCGTCACAACTTTAACGATCACTAAACTTGTTTTTTTTTCGTTGCATTTCTCGTGAAATGTCGGAGCTGCCCAACCATGTTCAGTGCCTCGCCAACATACTCTCCATTTTCCTCTTCCTGGTAACCATTCTGCCAGTTTCTTATCCAATTCGACAGGTTCATTAGCCAGTATCATTGATTCGCTGAATGGACCTAAATATATGAATTTAACCATACATTATATACAGTATATATTACGTATACAGCTATTTCAATTAAGGTTGTCCCCGAGCAAAGCGGAAAAGTCGAATACGAGCGCGTAATGCTTTCTTGGAATCGCTAATAAATTCATTAATTTTTTAGAGATTCCCTGAAAGCCTTTTGTATTCGACTTTTCCGCTTTGCTCGGGGACAACCTTAATTGAAATAGCTGTATACAGGATCTATCAAAAAGATATTCCGACTTTGGAGAGGGAAAAATTTAAAATATCTCGGCAAGTATTTACCCCCCTTTAAAACGAAAACCACCGTTGAAATGCTCGTAAAATAACCTTTCGAACGGGGGTGAAATGCCGTCATAACATTACACAAACCAAAACAATCATAAATTTACTCACCGCTTGGCCAAACATTCTGTATTTGATATCGAGAAAAACTTGAATATCTTCTAAACTCTTCAGCATTCGCCCTAGACTTTCCAAAGTCCTTTCCAGACCCTTCTATGGCGCGCTTCGCTTCCTCTGTGGAAAGGACCTTTGTCACTTGCAGCGCGCCAATATCACCGGTGGAAAAATCCACCGGTGACGTCATTGTTTACATTGCCGATTTGCCGAAGCGGTTTACATTATTATTGTATTACAAATTATATTCTCAGGCTTTCTTGTTGAACAAATGTGTACTATTGAAGCAATTAGAGTAAACAATGTAATTACAATTTTGTAGAACACAAAAACCATGTGAAAATACACAAACAAGCATTACATTGAGTAGGCTATACTTAAAAGTACAGGGTGTCGAAATAAACTTTATTAATACTGTCACGTACCGAAGATGCATCTAATGATTCTAAAATTTCCTCACTAGTTTTGGGTTTAGTTTGGGTTTCTTGATCTCGTGATTACTGATTATTAATACAAAATCATTTGTTGAGAAAACAACGCGTATTTTTACCGGATGTTGAACTCTGGCGACGTCTTCTCGTTGATCACAATCGCTGCCTCTCTGCTTCGCGGTTACAGCTAGTTGTTTGATTCTTTTCAATTAGATTAACTTCTAGTACTAATATTAAATCGCTCGCGAACTGAATCAACTTTCTATAATAAGTCTAATAAATTACTATTCTTGTCGGCACAATTACGGCACACATTGTTAGACAAAACAACTGTCTAGATTCAATAAGTTTTTACATGCACTCGTTTTTGTTGATACATTGAGCAGCTTTCGGCGCTTACTTGTGTCAGTTTAAATATTTCGTTTCCACACTCGGTGCAAACTGTTTCATTCGAGGACAAAGAAATATCAATTCTTGGGAATGTTTTTGTGTTTTTGTAGACTCATTGTCGGCGCGGTGAAGTAATTGTATGAAATGTACACACCCCTTTTATGTCAAAATTATATTCGCGCCAAAATTTTTAATGCGATTTAAATTCCTGCAAGGGACACAAGTCGACCACTCGCGACTTCGTCGCTCGGGTCGCGTGTTCCCTCCCCCGCGCCCTTCCTCCCCCATGGTCGACTTGTGGCAAGTCTACATTCGCCCAAGTCAATAGCAGTGAAATACTCCTTGTATTCAAGCCCTTTTATGTAGAAAATTTCATTTGAATACGACAAGTAGAAATATTTATTTTGAATTTTTCAAAATATCTGGCTTTTTAATACTTATGGTGTCACATTTCGGCCAATATTCAAGTTTCTTATAACATGTTTCTGTCATTGAAGATAGATCGGACATTGTAGTTGTCGTTTTCAACCTATCCATGTCAGCCCTTAGAAAAATAAACCATAGTTTTTCAAGCCAAAAACTATAGTTTTATAAACTATAGTATTTTGGAACAAAAACTTTAGTTATGCAAACTATAGTATTAAAAACTATAGTTCTTGTAGGAACTATAGTTTTGGCTAAAAACTATAGTTTTGGCTAAAAACTATAGTTTTGGCTTGCATGCAGCAGATCACCACCTCTCACATGAAATTTGTTCATCTGATAACATTATTTCATTTAATATAGTAAATATAATAAGCTATTTGCATAATAATAAACTATATATAACACTTTTTGTTTGTGGAAACACCACGTAAATTTATTAACTGCAAAGCTTTCGAACTTCTTTCGATCCGAGCTTACGGATCGAAAGCTTTGCAGTAATAAATTTACGTGGGGTTTCCACAAACAAAAAGTGTTATATTTTATCGCCATGCAATCATACAAAGAACTTAATAAATATATATTAAATAAATGAACAAATAATATTAAATATAATCAGTTTTTTGAATTACTAGCCATATAAAAACAATGTATGTCAACTAATCTCAGTTTCTTGTTCAATTTATTGCTCTTCCTTCCCTACTCTTTGTTGTCCAGCTTGAATTTTATTGCTTTTATAATGTCTTCTTTGTAAACAGGACAGCTCATATTGTTGTATTGTTAACACCCATTACACATTCTGGAAAACAATGGACAAATTTTCATGTAAGTTAACACAGTTTCACATTACAGTGCATCTGCAGTAAGTGGGGTAACTAAGAGGTCTAACCTGCGATCAGGCCTATAAATAAATAAACATGCTTTATTTATTTAATAAAAGCTTAACAAACCTTAATTAATAAAAGTCCATACCATACAACCGTATTTCGGTTGGAAATCTGATTGGTCTATGCGACAACAGATTTTTTAATCTGTCATTTGCTTGGTTGGTGCTAATTAGATTATACTATTGTTGTCGATATATGTTATAGTGATCACAAGTATGATTAGATTGTTGCCGTCGTTGTGTGAAATTTAAATTTAATAATACATATGAGTCATGATTTAGTAACAGTTACTATTTTTAGACTTTTAGGGTTAGGATTAGGGTTTGGATTAGGGAAAGGCTTAGGATTAGGGTTATGATTAAGATTAGGGTTTGGCTTGGAGTAAGGGTTATAGGCTTAGGTTTAGGGTTAGGACTGGGGTTAAGTTTAAAATACAAAAGAATACAAAATTACAAATCCTAAAAATAGTAACTCTTCCTAAAACGTGACAGGTGTAGGATATAACTACCCAACATATCTTGTGCAATTACTCCTTGAGTATTAGTAGGTGATACTTTGGCAAACAGTCCACAGTCGTAAAAATGTCTCTCGGGAAACATATATACGTCAGAGTTAAATATCAGAGTACTTAAGGTAGGGAGTGTTAGGGAAAATTGCTTTCCTTTTGCTCCCTAATTATTAAATAATTTTTACGAAACAAAATGTCACTCCATCCTTTAAAGACAAACCAAACCATACCATATTAAGGTTTTAGGTTGAGTGGGAGGAGATTTTCACATGTGTAAAACTTGAATAAGAAGGAAGCAAGAGAAGGGTGATCTGGTTGTTATGGATTTTCCTCCTCAATCTCAGGTTGGAGTCCATCAGAACTCGGTTCGGGCCAGAACCCCGATTTTTCAAAATTCCTCTTCCGGCCGGAACCTGCACCGGAACCCTGTTATTATCAGAGAGATAGAATATCAAACGTTTTTGTGTCTAACAAAAGTTCACAGTAGGAAGAAATTTGGACTACACAAGGACCATTTTTCAATCTTTTTATTCCACTTGCACGCACTCTCCTTGATGACTTGAAGTATCTGACTGTCTGGCAGCAGACAAAGTAACATATGACTATATATGGCTTAATGAATCAGTTCTGGTTCCAGCCAGAACTTTTTTGTAGCTCCGGCAAGAATTTAAGAAATTGGTTCTGGTGCACCCCTAATCTCAGGACCTAAATCCTATTGAGAATTTATGTGATCATTTGGAACGAGAGAAACTGAAACATGATCTCCACAGTGAAGACAACCTGTGGGATGTCTTTATTAATCAATGCTGGAATAAGATTAAGCCAACAGCACTAGAACACTTGTTGAATTTAAGCCTAGGAAGAGTTAAACCTATTTTAATGGCTAATATAATATAATATAATATAATATAATATAATATAATATAATATAATATAATATAATATAATATAATATAATATAATATAATATAATGTAATGTAATGTAATGTAATGTAATGTAATGTAATGTAATGTAATGTAATGTAATGTAATGTAATGTAATGTAATGTAATGTAATGTAATGTAATGTAATGTAATGTAATGTAATGTAATGTAATGTAATGCAATGCAATGCAATGCAATGCAATGCAATGTAATGTAATGTAATGTAATGTAATGTAATGTAATGTAATGTAATGTAATGTAATGTAATGTAATGTAATGTAATGTAATGTAATGTAATGTAATGTAATGTAATGTAATGTAATGTAATATAATGTAATGTAATGTAATTAATGTAATGTAATGTAATGATGTAATGTAATGTAATGGAGTTTGTGTAATGGTCGAGGGTCATATGTCGAGGTTC